TTCCTTCAATTTTTCCCAATTCTTTTCAAAATTATTGATATCCAATCCTCCTTAATTTGAAATTTATGTTTACCATTCATATATTTCGAAAGCCAGCATTTTAACACTTTAAATTGTTCCATAATTTAACTAGGGTTAAATTTTTAAAGCTGAATTTCCTTTAAATTGTCTTTATTATCATTTAAATTTTCTTTTTTATCTGGTGCAAACCAAAAGGTATAATTACTGCTTGTAAAAATTTCACTTCTTGTCGTAAAAATAACAAGTGGGTCTGACCAATTCTATTTGACTTTATTATTCATATATAAATTTTTCTAAATATTCTCTAGTTTCATTTCATCATAGCTATCCATTATCAATAACAATCTGAATTCTTTCTTTTCTAACTTCTCTTTGCATTCTCTTAGTTAAAGTTCGTCAAAGCCGTACTCATCCTAATGAAGTGCCTCCTCTACTGCTTAAAAAACAGGGTTTTTTAACGAGGGCAAGGAGATATAAACAGGTATGAGAATCTGATTTCTAATTTTTTTATTATTGTTGTGTAATTTCCAAATAAATTCTTCTATTTTCTTAGCTGTCGTACTTTTACCTGATCCAGCTACCCCATGAATTAATAACACTGTTTCGTGCTCTTCTAATAAAAACTCATTCACTTCTCCATTTGTATCATCAATTTATTCCAAATTTATTAAAATACTTAATTTATCTTCTTTCTTTTCACCTTTATGAGAGTATCTCTTTTGTTTCTAATGGTACATAAATGGATTTAGCATTCTTAAGTGCAGCTTCTTTCAATACCTTCCATTTTCTAATTTCAAATAATTATTCAACAGATTTTCCTCTCAGGAATTTAATATCGTTACCTATACTTTTGAGTTATTCCTTCATTTCATTGATTTTCCCCTCCACTCTAATCAAGCCTTTTCTGATATGATTAACAAAATCGGTTAGCAGTCTCAATTATTAACCCATTTCACTAATATTTTCAATTTATTAATCTAATTGCTCTGTTGTTTCATCAAGTTCTTTAAGATATTGATCTCGCTTGTTGAGATTAGCCTCATGAGAAATTTATTCCTACAATTCATCAATTCTTCTCAACATCTCCTACATTTTACCTTCAATTCTATCATGTTAAGTCTACCAATCTTTCTACAAAATCTACATTTACATACTTATCAAACTTTTATTTTTTAAAATATTTCTGACTCTTTGATCCTTTTCCTAAACCCATAATTAGATTAGGACTTTCTAACAAAAAGAAGTTATAGAATCTGAAAAACAATTAGAAGAAATCTAAATTATAGTAAACACTAGACCTTATTTGATTTTCCATTATTCATTATTTGTGAAGTTTTTGAACTTTTGAACTAAACCAATTTATTCTTCTAATACTTCTACATCTTCTTTTTCATTATCCTCTGAGTATATTTTTTATATTTATTGAATTAGAAAATCTTATTTGAATTGGGTGTTGGAGCGATACTTGAGTTCAACCAATTTTTTTAGACTGAGACTACTAATTATTATAGAAAATCAGAAATCTTTATTTAAGTGTTGTCATTTCCTCTTTTAAATAACTGGAATTCTAAACTTTCCTTGTTCAAACAAAAATTTTAGTCTTCTTCGATCAATTGAGATTTTTCAAACCTCCCAATACATTCTTAAATAAATTCTTAAAATCTGTTTTAGAATTTTGTTTAGTTTTCTTCTTCATACCTTTGAATTTAATCAAGTTTTCCAGCGAAAATAAGAACTTTTTCAAACAATTCGTTTAATAACTCCATCTCTTCTTGTAGAGATAACGTTTTTATCTTTACAATCTTAATCATTAATTATAAATATGTTCTATAGTTCTCATTCATTGGATCTTATGATTTCTATTCTTACTATTATTCCTCATTAGATAGTTTAGATATTATTGATTTTAAAATGAGAAGTTCTTGATTAATTAACATTTTATCAATTTCCTTGTCTGTTTATCCAAAGGCTTAGATTGTTTTAATCACAGTTTCTGTTTGTTTGATTAATGAATTCCAATTTTCTTTTTCAATAGATTAAGGTTTGCTTAAATTCTTAATTTATCTTAATTAGGACAAATATGTATCTTTTTCTAGTAGATGAAATTTACCATCCCTCAATTATTCATCAACTTTCAGATTTCCAAAGATTGTCTTAATCTTCTCGACAGACCGAAAGGAAGGAGGCTATTTGATAAATAGTTCTCCTAATTCCTTTTCAATCAACTCTAAATCTTTTCTTTCTTAATTAATCATTTTTCCATTTATCCTTTATCTAATTATGTGGTACGCTATTTCTCCTTTTTACTTTAATAACTTTTATCTAAATTCTTCATTTGAGATATTTCTTAATTCAATGTGAAGTGGTGGGTCCAAGTTTGTGTTTTCTCTCATGATTCTTTTTGGGACATTTCTAATTACATTTAGCAGAAATTCTTCAAACTTTATAACCTCCAACAACTATTTTTATTCTTCTGGTGAGGCTTTTTATAAAATCATTTAAAAAGACTTCTTTGAATTAATTTGATTGTAGCTTCAAATTGTTGTACCTTAATTTTTCAAAAATATTTAAGAAAATCCCCATCAACAAACTTTTATGTAATTTTTTTAAGATCCTCTTTTTTAACCTTTTTTTCAAGATCCTCTTTTTTAAGATTCTCTTTTTCGAGATTCTCTTTTTCGAGATCCTCTTTTTTAAGATCCTATTTTTCAAGATCCTATTTTTCCAGATCCTCTTTTTCAAGATCCTCAATTTTCGTCTCAATCTCATACTTTATGATTAGATGTCTTTTAGTTACTTTATATCCGAAAAATGTTTCTAAAGCCATTAGATCATGTTTTCATAATATGAATAAAGATTATTTACTTAATTCTAAAAATATAAAGATAACTAATTTTTTTTTTGAATCTATTCAACTTTGATTTTGTAGATTTCTTTCTTTTTTTCAACTTCTTCACGAATTTTGTTTTTTCTCTTGGTATATTGTTGGTTTGTTATGAAAAGAAAAATTCAATTCTTTTTTCAATTCTTCCAAAATTAATTGAATCCAATCCTAAATTACATGATTGTGATCAAAACCATTTTTGCCTTTTGCTTGAATTCTTTCATCTAAAATTATAAATAATTAAAATCTTTCCTATAGTCTCAACAGATTATTAAGTTCCTCAAAATCCTTATTATCAAAACACATCTCTTTCTCATAGTTCTAATTAAGGCTCATAAGTTTTATAATATCATAAATGTTTTAGAAATAGTCTTCTAACCTTTGTATAATTCTTTTTATTTATTATTATGAAATTTTACATATTGTAGTCTCATTACCTTTCTTATCCACCATAAAATTTTTACAAATTTTGATTACTTCATCCAAATTCTCATCATTTTATTAAATTAGGGTGAGCAGTTTAGAGGGAATCAAAAAACACAAAAACCTTTTAATATTTTAAATAGTCAAAATATTTTCATTATTTTAGAGAATTTTTCCTTCAAAATTTTCAAATTTGCTGTTTAAATATGATCCAAATGAAAAAGGAATATTTTGAAATTGTTCATTTATGAGAAAATCTTTAAGTAATAAGAAGATTTCCGATTCTTTGAAAACGGTTTCTAAGATTGTTCTATCAATTTAACTTAATTATTTATTATGAAGTTTTTCAAGTTAGATGACAGCTTAGCCATTAGTATGATTCATTAAAATTAGTAATCCTTTTTTCTAAAATTCCTTCCAAATTTAATCTGACCTTCCTTCAATATTGAGCTCACTTATTTATTGAGATAATTTGTGTTTTGTTAAAAAAGGATTATATTATATGATTTAGCCAACCATTTACACCCAAAGATAATGGTATTTCCATTCATTTGAATTTTTCACAATTTTATCATACACACCCTCGATTTGTACAATTATTTCATCAAAATTTTACAATCGATCATTCTTAAAATAACTTATTATCTCCCATTGCAACATATCTAATTAAAAATAAACTTCAAATTATTTTCTATTGTTGTTAACAATGTGCTAATTACT